ATCAAAATCGTCAAAGAGATGCATATGTGGTTAGTTAGAGTCAGAAATATTACAATTTTTGTATTATTAAATTTTGAAGCATAAATAACATTCCATATATATTACAGTAATTTCTCTTTTTTTATTTTGTCTTTTAAATGTTTCAATGTGTTCGTATTTTATTAAATTTGCAATTTTTCTTTTTTATATAATGCAATTTAAAAGTATTTCATATATATTTAAAAGTAATCAATAGATATTTCATTTTTTAGTAACTGAGTATTTTTACTTTTCCTATTTCTTTATTTTTATTTATTTTTTATAAATGTAAAATCACTCGTTTAAATTTCATTTAAATATAAAGATTTGATTAAAGTAAATAGAGAATTCAGTTGAAAAATGCATCTGCGAATTGGACGATTCATATGTTAGGCTATTGTATCACTTGACTGTATTACTAATATAGTTTGCTTATTGTTACAGGTGATCATCGTTGGATTTATCATCAAACCTCCTGGATTCTTTTTTATTTGAGTGTCTTAAATTGCTTCATTTTAAAATATATATATAAATGCATTTCTGAAGGCACACACATGTTTATATACACTAAAAATTAAAAATAATTATTTCAAATTCTGTTACAACATAAATATACTATATATGCTATCAAAGAAAATATCATATACTATCATATAGTAAGAATATTGTATTTTTTGATAGTATTGTACCGTTATCGCTTTAAGTATCTACTATCGCCTACTGGTGGTCCCGGTAGTAACAAAAATGAAACTGGGTAGATAAAAAAGGGGACTTGTGAGCTTCTATGTACTTCTGTATTTTTTGCTTATACCAATGGTTTATCTTAAAAGTGATATTTATATCAACTGGTAAAATGCCACGAGCTCTTACAAAAATTCGGTTAAAAAATGCTGAGCAGTGTGGTAGCATTATGTTATACTACAAGAAAGTACACCAAACATCCAACTACTTTTAACTATCACTATCTGATGCGCTGACATTTTTGGACACCAAATAGAAGAAATGCAATCACGCTATGTGGTACTTGAATGGTTAAAAGAATCATCAAAGTTGTTTAGTATATCTTCTATTAATAGAATGTGTTTTAATAATTATAGGACAAGCCTTTAAACAATGTATAGTTTCCGTCCATCCAATACATTATCGTATTTTCTTTTCATTGAAGGCAACGTTTTAAACGTAGTTGAGTCTCATTCTTTCCCAAAATTTCAATCATTTCTATTACACTTGGTCCGCTCTAAAATAAATCATTTTGTTATTTATATGTAACTAAAATATGTTATATCATTACAAAGATAGTATTATTGTAGGAATACCTCTAAACCACTTAGAATTTTACGCAAAGTTTTCATCAAGCTAGGAAACGGGATACCGTTCTTTTTAGCAAGTTCTTTTAAATATGGTTTCAATACATCCATCAATAAATCATTCTCATCAGTCTCCGTCAACTTCTTATTTAAATTTTTAATAGCATCTGCAATTATTAATAACGATACACATTTTGTTAATTTAATTTTCATTGTAACGTTGTACCTATGCATTCAGGTGAAGTAATATCGGGAAGAGAAGTTGGCATGACCCATATAAATGCTAAATCAGTTGTTACAAGATCGCTTAACTTGCTAATCCTATTTTGCGCCCAATTCAATGTTGAAATAATGTGATCTCCATCTAATTTGAATGTCTTATTTTCGCTGAAATAGTAGATATTGAAATGATTAATTAATTGTCAACAAAATAACACAGATATTTTTCCAAACAATAAATTTTTATAATTGATAAATAGGAAACGTACCAATTTGGAAACGCTTCCTTTACTATTCTCCTTACTCTTTCTATTAAAAATTTATGATTGTTTGGACTGCTCAACAATCGTGATATTTCCAATCTATTAAATTCTAACAATATCTCGGATGCTAACTTTGTTGAATTTGAATTTATCCTTTTAATATCGAACTAAAAAAAAATAAAAAAAAAGACTGCATGATATACATGAATATTAAAATATAAGATATTTTAGTAAGATTAATAAAAATATTCTGATATACTCACTTTTTTAATCAAATGTTCATAAGTGTATATTTCCGGAGTATCTGGATTTCTCGCAAAACCACCGCCGGCATGAGTAACATAATTTAATAACGCCAATGGAAAAATATTTGAATTCCGGAACGAATCAACTCTTATTCCATCTTGTCGTTTGGATAACTTTGAACCATCACTATTTAGTATTAAAGGTAAATGACCGTAAACAGGTGGTACCCAACCAAATGCCCTGAAACAAACAAAAAATCATTTAATTAATTGATCATCTTATTGTATATTTAATATCTTATATAAAAGTATCATTTTACTTATAAAGCATTAAATGTTTAGGTGTTGATATTTGCCACTCAACACCTCTCAAAACGTGAGAAATTTTCATGTAATGATCATCAACGACGTTTGCAAAATGATAAGTAGGAAAACCATCAGATTTCATAATTATAGGATCACCTTCGATCTTTGAAATATCGTGAGCTACATGACCATAAATCAGATCATCGAATGCTTCTATATCTGGGGACAGCTGAATAATATTAACAGAAGATAAATAAAATTTCGTTAAATGATAAAAAATTATATAATCATCTTCAATAATCACCCTAAATCTAATACAATATGGTACGCCATTTCTCAATTTCTCGTTGACCTCTTCTTCAGTAGAATGTCTACATTTATTATCATATTTAGGCACATGACCATTTTTAATAGCTTCTCGTTTTAACAAATTCAATCTATTCTCTGAACAAAAACAATAGTAAGCGGTCTTATTGTGAAGAAGTTTTTGTATATTTTCTCTGAAATTAATATAATCAAAAATAATATTGATATTAATAAGAATTACAATATTTGTTAATATTCTTTGATCACAAAACGTCGCACTTGTATATTTCAAGACGTTTAGATTGAAGGTAAGGCCCGTAGGGGCCTCCTCTCATAGGATCTTCATCTGATATAATTCCAACCCATATCAAATCATCTTGTAATTTTTCCATCGCACCAGGTATTGTTCTAGATTGATCAGTATCCTCAATTCGTAGAATAAATGTACCATTTTTAGCACGAGCAAATAAATAATTATACAGTGCAGTACGTAAACCTCCCAAATGTAAATAACCTATTAGGAATATAATACATTATTAGATTATACTTATAATTACAATTATCTATATGAGTGATTATAATATCAACAATTTATTTAATCAAATATCATACATAAATACAAAATATATCCTAAAATAAATATAACTAGCTGTGTTATGACAGTAAAAAAATTCTCATATAAAAAAAAAATAAGCTAACCTAATAACAATAATTAAATTATCTCTGTTATTTTCTTGTTAATTATTTGCAAGAAGTATAAAAAAATATATATATACCAGTAGGACTCGGTGCAAATCTCACCCTCACTTGTTCGGAATAATAACGTTTTTGTAAAAACAAAAAGTTAACAATTCGAAGTGTACCGCCGCGCATTTTCTTAAGGCTGTTCATCATCTATCTTTCAAAACATATGTAACTTAACCCTTTTGTTACAGCATGCTTTGGGTTGTATATCGTTCACGTGTGCTACAGGAGAGCTTGCACAAGTATCGTTTCATATAAATTCGCTCGTACATACGAGCTTTTGCATAATACGGCCAATGGAACTATATACAAGGAGGACGATCGAGATAGGCGTTTGCGTCGAATTTGTGTTGTTGGAAATGACTGAATATTGAGTACAATAATATCTACGAGGGCGACGGTGATGTTCTTAACTTTAGATTTAAGTACGTGTGATTTTATAAATAAACAAATGAAATTAATAGGTCTCTTTGATGTTTTTGTTTTAATTACTGTTTTTAAAAACCAGACTAAGCGACTAGACGCGCTCTCTAGTGGCAATAGAAATCATTCTGTCATTGTGAACATTGTACCCACATTTATAACACGGCGATCGTCCTCCTTGTATATAGGCTCCATGATTTCCGTATATCGAATAAAATTAAGAGAAATAATTATTATTTTAATTATTAATAAAAATTAATTAATATGTTTATTTGAAATGTACAAATGCATTTACAAGAGAATGTGATTGGCTAATACATTGCACTTGGTTGCGTTAAAATCAGCCAATAAGCGTTGACCTTTGTACGCGCGTCTTTTTCGTATTTTTCAAATATTTCGTGTTTTAACGCGATCATTTTCAAGTTTTGATGTAGTTCACGTCGGTTATATTAGGTAATTATTGCGAATTAGTATATCGTCGAACTATTAAGAGATAATTATTAAATGTTTTCAATAAATAAATATAATTTAATTGTATATAACGGGAGTACTGTCGGGCGAATTGGCTTTATTTTTTTGTTTTATTAAAACGTCATTTAATTAAATAATAAACATTAATTTGAAAATAAGAAAAAAATTTATTGACACTCAAAATTATTTTATTTGTTTTTTTCATGTTTTGATCATATGTACATATAAATATAAATTATAAGATCGTTTCAATTTAGAATTTGTGAACATCCAATACTGTTGCCATTTTTTAACGTAGTTATTTGTATCCTTTGTTAAAATTCTGAATCTCCGATAAATAGATTGAAGCATGCATTTTCAGTCGGATATTATTATTATTATTATTAGCGTCCCATTTTCAAGAGGCTTCCGATTGAATTTGACTTTTCAAACATTTAGGTGTTAATTCATCCAGTCTACGATCTAAGAAGTTAACACAATTTGTTAACTGAGTTACCATTGTTTCTACTGCACGCATATGAGAAGAAGTCATATTAGGTAAAAATGATTCTACCATCATCACCTGCAAGTATATACTACTATTTTATCTCTATTAACAATGCTTAAGAAAACTTATAATTTAAAGCGATCAAATGTTAACTCATCATTACCCGTTTCTCTAAATTGGCTAGTTTAGACTTGAAAGCATCTAAATAACCAGGTGGTAGACTTCGTTCTTCTACAGGACCTGAATTTACAGAAGGAAGTTAAAAATTAATACAATCACATACTTATTCTTGTATTCGTTAAGTACATCAGGATAATACTATAACTTACAAAATTGATGTACGCCAACAACGTCAATGATAAAAGGCCTGTAAACCATGAATTGTTCTCTCAGAAAATGAATATATTGTACATTTCTGATTTACTTAACGTTATATGATTATTCTAATTTTTGATAAATCATCAATTTGTTATACTTGTCTTTTTGGGATCCTCTGAGCAATGAAGACAATGGTATTAAATGATTATCATGTCTTCTAATTTTTAATACTTTGCTATTGTCCTTTTCTATACCGGCCCAGTAATAAATAGATATTCTTAATTTGTCTAATGTTATTCCAGGTACAACAGTAAAACAGTTCAATGTTGTTTGTAACGTATCATTTTCTGATTCTATATTGATTAGCATAAACATAAATATTTGATTCAATAAATATAAACAATTGATTAAAAAATGTAGATAATTTATTAGATATAAGAAATATTAATTGTTCAATGTCTCTTAACCTTTCTTGTTTAGAAAACATATGTTTGTACTGTTGTCTATTACACACACATACAATAACACATATATAATCTTAAAACTTACCAATTTGATCGTATCTACGTATCAATATCCACATATTTATTTCACTTACACCCATTTTATCTTGAAAAATATAATAATAAAATAATGCAATGTTGAAAATATGTTACATCAACTAATTGAATTTATCAAATAGTTCAATCCATTAATTAATAGATTTGTAATTGAAAATATTTACAATACTTAATATGAATTTGTTGTAATATATAGAAAAATACTTGTATATAATAATTATCTTTAAAACTACTTTGAACTAATAACAACATGTAGCAAAAGATTCAAGATTGGAAACTAACTTCTAGCTTTTATCTAATCCACATGGGAAATAATTTTCTTTTGTGCCGCATCGCGTATACGAGAAATAAACGAAAATCATTTTCGTTAAGCAAAAATTTTCCATAAAAAATTGGAAAAAAGAGATTGGATTTGGATAAAAAGGATTCAATAAGTCGCCATCAGATTAGATTAATTATGAAAGTGATTAATTACGGTTGATTCTTCATACTTAAATTGTCTTTTCTCTTGTTATGAATATTAGACTTCAGTAAAATATTTTGTGTGTCATAAAAGTGATGATTAAAATGAACTTTTTTTCAATAATTCTTAATTAAGACATTCTCTTTAAGTTCAAATCTTGAATATTATCATGAAAGTTCGTACGTTAATTCATGATTTTTTCTTCATTTGACCTTACTTCTAGCATCTAGTTTGACTGATTCGTTCTCATTAACAGAAAAAACCCTTTGCACCCTTTCTATAAACTCTTTCATATGTATTAGATAACGACAAATAAACCCTTAGGCGTCTCACGCAAATTCTTCAATGTAATAGTAATGGATTAGAATCGCATTTCCTTAAAATTTGTTCAATTAATTATGATGAAGCCATATTCTATGTAATTCATTTTAGAATTTAAAAAAAAAATCATTTCTATTTATTGATTTCTATTAAAATATTTAAAGTATCGTAATGTTCTTAGAATATATAACTATATTTATTATTATATAGACCTTTATATTATTAATTTTTTTTGAAAATAATTTGTATTGTTATTTGAATGATCAAAGCAAGCCATTTAAATCTTTCGCTAATTGCGCGCCATATTTGATTTACTTTTATCTCTTATCATCGTAGTGGTTGTACTCAGAATTTAAAGAAAATTGGAATGATAAATACAATGAATAATAAAAATAAAACCTAACGATAGTATTTCTAATAGATTAAATTACATTTTATTTAAATATTATTTCATTTAAATTCAATTTCTCTTATTTTGTTATGAGAGAGAAGGAGAGAGACAAGTATAATGAATTGTATTTTTTCAAATATTTTAACTTATTTATACTGCAATTGTCGGAATTTTCGAAATATTTTTGTAAAAGTAAACAAATTATATTCTGATATATTTTATTAAATTTTTATATAAGAATTGGGTAAAATATGTAAATATAAAACAGGTGAATCGAATATGGTTGTGGGTCACGTGTGTCAAAATGACGTCAGAGAAAATGGACGTGTCTTCAGCCACTTCCGAATTCGAGCGTCGACTAATATCCGGCCACGTTAAAATAGATTATTTGAAGTAAATTTTGATCGGTGGCTTGACTTTACCTAAAAATTAATATAATTAAGTAAAACAATTACAGTTCTAAGTTAAGATTGTGTGTGTAAATGTGCGTTTAATATTAATTGGATTTATTAAATGAAACGGAGAATGGATTACTGGTCAACATGGATGCTTATTGTTTCAATGCTATTTCACACTATCTTACTTACGGGTGGCGTCGAATTAAGCTTCGAATTGCCTGATAATGCTAAGGAATGCTTTTATCAGGAAATCGAAAAGAATGTTTCGTCTACCCTTGAATTTCAGGTAGTGTTTTTAATTTTTATAAACGAAGTTTTGTTTAATTAACATTGTCATAAATACATGCATCTAAAATTACGTAAGTTAAGTCAACATCTAATAATATGTCAATTAATTTATTTACTTGATACAGTATTCATAGTTATAAGTTCTATTCTGACATAATATTGATTTATGTGCGTTTTCTACCGAATCAGGTTGTAACTGGAGGTCAATACGATGTAGATGTTACATTGGAAGCTCCGAACAACGAAATTATTTATAAGCAAGTTAAAACGCAGTTTGATTCTCATCCTTTTGTACCGACTATGTCAGGAGTATATAAAGTATGCTTTAGCAATGAGTTTTCTACGTTCTCTCACAAGCTTGTATATATGGATTTTCAAGTCGGTAATGAATTACCACTTCCTGGTCTTGGAGAACAAGTCACTGTTATGACACAAGTAAATAGAACAATGGTGTTTGGATTATTTGGATAAATATGATGTAAGATATTAATTGATTTTGTTATCGTTTGCTCTAGATGGAATCATCAGCGCAAGTTGTGCACGAAAATTTAAATAGTATTCTTGATTATCAAACGCATCATCGATTGAGAGAAGCTCAGGGTCGCAAGCGAGCAGAAGATTTGAATGAACGGGTCTTATGGTGGTCTGTGATGGAGACTATCGCAATTGTTGTTATCTCTGTAGGACAAGTGTTCATTCTCAAGAACTTCTTCACGGAAAGGAGACCTTACCAAAGGCTTTAGCATAATGTAAGAAATTTTGGTTATTTGTGGCTGAAATAAAAAAAAAGGCAACATATCCATCTAAATAATCTGGTCAGTGGTGATACACATGCGCACTCGAGAACTTTTGGATGTTGTCTCATGGTCATTAGTGGAATACAGATATTGCGTTATGTGTGTCTTTTCTATGCCTATGCCTGAGTTAAAAACTTGAGGTAAGACTAAGAAAAGAATGCAGCGCACTAAAGATATATGTTTCTTTTTTTTTGTTCTTTGTATATTTTTAAAGAGGTTTGCGCTATGAGAGATTTGGGTATCCTCTCGGCACATTAATTTATGAAATATGGAACATTTTCTCGCGGGTGTTGTTAGAACTATGAGCTATCAAAGAAAAAGGTGCAAGTGTTTGCGATGCCATACATTTAAGCACTTTAAACTCCTAAGTTGTAGTTTTATTAACATAAGCGGTACAAGAGACACTGACGCACTACGTCAAGTTTTTCTTACTGTGAATGTGTAAAATAATAAATTACAATGTTTGGGCGTGAATCTTTCTTGTACAAATATAAACCTTTTACCTTTGTGAGGTTCATTATAATAGATATATACGCATATATAAAAAGATAATAACAGAGAATACAAATTTAGTTATTAATTTATTGATATCTATCCTGTAATTCGTGCAAGACTTGTTTTTTCATTTTTATTTTCTAATAAAATATTTATAAACGAATAATACTAATAAGATAAAGTAAGTGTGTCAAGGTATCAACTGTGTAAATAAAGTAGATGATTCAGCGCATGGATTTGGCTAATTACAAAAAGGATAAGTGCCTAAGAATTAAAAAATAAGATATAAATGTAGAACAGCATATAATTAAAAGATAGCATAACACAACTAACCAACGAGAAAAGGATAGAAAGGATAGAATGGTGGTGGACTGTATAGAACAGGCAGAGTTGGTAAAACATTGCGTGCTTCATATTGTAATCCACTAAATATGGCAGAGGGTAGTAATTTTGGTTTTTACTTTACTAGGCGTATTAAATTTTGCCAGGCATTGAATCCATGGAGAATTTTGTCGCCAGATGGTACATGGAGAGCATGGGGAACATGGAGTGCCATGGCATGCATATTGAACTGTGTACATAAAGAAAAAAAGACAAATTTTAATAAAAAAATGAATAGATTCCTGTTGCAGAACATACCAATTGTCGTTGCCTTGACACGGTATTAACATTTTTATTTATTTATTTTACAAATTCACATAAGTATTATTTTTATAAAGAGAATAAGACAAAAAATTTCTTTTTTTTTTTAAAAACAATTAAAAAATTTATAAACGAATATAAAAATTTCTCTACAAAACGAGTAACAACAAGTTCAGGAGATACTATTTGAAGATTGTTAATAAAAGCAACGAGCTTAAAGTAATTGATGTACAAATTTTTATTTATGTACATAATTTTGTAAATATCTCATTTCTCATTTATATTATAAAATTCTTTTTATTTTATTTACGTTTAAATAGAATATATTTCATGAAGTTTTCTGTACGTCGATACCAGCGACGTGTTATGGCTTCGCGGGGCCCCTCGAAAGTTGAATTTGGTGGCTCCATGTATAGCATTGAATTTTTCTTTGGATTCAGATTTTTTTTTTTTTACTACAAAAATAAATTTGAGTTGATAGAATATTGATTTAGGAACTTTGGGGCCCTTTGTAGATGGTACCCTAGGTAATTGCTTTTTTTTGTTCATAGTATAATACGCCACTGGTCGATTAGATTTAAATGTGTGTGAATAGGGTCGGTATGGGTAGGTAGATTAGGCTGTTAATCTAGTCTTGATCCGCATTGATAGGGATGCATAAAAGTCTTGAACGGCCCTGTGTATGTATATACATATACATATATACTTTTTCGTAACTTTATAGGAAAGAATGCGCTTGAAATTCGAAAGAAGCCGGTCTTCTTTCTATGTAAGTATAACGTATGTATTCATGTACATGGAGGTTTGTAAATGGGCCATTTATTTTGAGCTCCGTACACGCCAAGTTTTCAATGGGTTTCTTCGATGTTTTCATTACTTAGTGTTTTTAAATTCTACGAAAATGCGTTTTACTTTTTATTTTATATATCGTTGAAGGATATTAATCTCTTTATGAACGATTTATCTTCAGAGTTAAAAAGGTAAAAATCTAATTCATAAATGTTTGTATATTTAAATTAGAAATTAATAATAACTAAGAAGAGAAACAAGTTTAAAAAAGTATGTCGAATGAATAACAAAACACCAAAATGTAATTTTCTCCCCTAAATCAAACATATATATCTACGTTTCTGAAGAGATTAAGGAACTTTGATTTATTACATTTAAATCATAATAAACGTCGATATCGTTATTGTCATTCAAAAATGTGTATGTTTTATGAACGGAAAGGGAAAGTTCGTAAATTCTACTCTATCTGTTTTTTTTTTAATTTAATTTAATTTTTTCTATCTTTAAAAAAAAGAAAGCAAAATACAAGTGCATTAAAGTGCACTAGTTAGACGAAGGTGGCAGGGGTAGGGTGTAAATCTTGATAGGGACGATGCTGGGTGACAGTGGTTGTAGTGGGGGTAAAATTGGAAGGGAAGAGGTCGTGTTATGCGCGCGCAGCTTTGTCGTGAGGTGGGGAGAAGGTCGCGCG